TAAGTTTAAATTTTGTTTATTTTTAACGAAAATAAAATTTACAGGTACTTGGACTTTGAAGATCATAGTGATACGAACTTTTGTTCTAAACAGCACAGATCGCTATTTTAAAACATGAATTTTTTATTAATTAGTTTCAACTCATATAAACTTTAATATAAAATACATTAAAACTTTTATATATACATCTATTGTTGCATGAGCTTACAAAAAACGTACATTTTCTCTTATAAAAATGTTTCTTTTACGCAATGTCGATTATGTGACTATTATATTCTCTTCGAAATATTTGCATAAAAACATATATATAACGATTATGAACGCACATGCCAGTGGTCTTATATATTTGAGGATATAACTTTTAGATGCTAACTGAAAATATTGAAAAGCAAATTTTATGAGAATTATCGATTTTCTATTAATGTATGTTTTGGTTTAAAGATGTTTTTATTTATACAATTTTGAATATCAATTATTACCTTTTATAACTTATTAATATCAGATATACAAATTTGTTAATTAATTTTAATTTTATAACCATTTCTGGATTTTGGTGTAAAAAGTTTTACGTATGTAATAACTATTTTAGCTTGCGACTTATTTGTATTTTATAAATTATCACTTATGCAGTTTTTTAAATTTTGTTTATAGATAATACTCAAAAATAGATCATTTGTTAGCTCAAGCGTTTTTAGTTTTAAATATTACGACTGCATCCAAGATTTCTTTAATAAGATAACCGCTGATGTCTATTAAGCAGAGTAATGTATTTACAATTTCAAGTCCTTTCCGAATAACGAAACATCTATTTTTACACGATTTTTACACGATATATTGAATAAGGCTCACAATTATACATAACCGGATTAGGACATCCATTATGAAGATTTTTATATTGTATTTTAATTATTCATATTCTTGTTATATGGATTGTCATGTTATTGTAGTTCAAATGAACAATTAATTTTAAATTGTATTTAGTATAACATTGAATAAATGCAATAGAATATTTCTCTTGACTGACTAAAGTGCTCCAATATAATAATTAAATGAGGAATTCAGACGTATTCAATGATATATCAACATCATTTATATTCCACCAAAGCAAGATAAAATACTAAATGATGCACCAAGTGCAAACACTAAAAAGCATAAAGATATCATTTAAATTTTTAATATAACGTTGTACAATAATTTTATGTACATTATGTTATAAAATTTTTTTAACAATAAAATAGAATTTTATTGTAAAAAATGTAATAGTATTTTTCTTTCTACTTTATTTTTTTTTTTACACTGTCCCAAAAATACCCGCTCTTTGTGTATATCTTTGTCCTTAGGTATCCTGTCTCTTTCCATTGTAAAAAACAAACTTTCAAAGATGATATTCATAATCTGTTCTTATTTCAAGATCGTTTTAAGACGATTTTGAAATAAGAATCGATCATCTATGATTGGTTTGTATCTTCTTAAGCCTATAATTGGTTTGTGAACTTAAAACTGTACTTAAGACGATTCTTGAATATAAGACCTGACACTATGAAAACTGCCCTCAGTATTTAGGGGAAACTCTCAAGGAAGTGTTTGACAAAATAATGTTCAAGTTTTGATGCAGCCTTTATATGACAAAATTTTCATGTCATTCTTGTTTAACGTTCAGTAAAAAACAAGGATGAAGTAATCAGTTTGTCACACGTCAAGCGAACGTTTGCCAGACTCTCCCTTGAGGCTATGGTTGAAGGGATGTTATCCCTTCCACTATGCTTGAAGATCTCTAGGGGAGTATTCCCACCAAGCGGCACAACCCAAGCGGTTCAGTCAGCAACGGTACGCAGTTGTGTGAGCATCAAAAATTCTGTCGCGTCCGAGGGTCGTAGCCATAAATTCATGTCTTATCTCTAATAACCTTTTTGAGCAACTCTTGAGCAACTTGAGGATTTTCGATGGATTCCAAGATGTCTTCGGCAACTTCAGCTTGAAAATTCTTTTAATCTTGCCTGAGCACTCATATAACGAATTATATACACATGCAACTCATTCCCAGATCTACGGCGCTCAAAATTTTTGTCGCTCATACACTATTCATAACTGCTTACTGAACTGTTAAGTCGTGTCGCTTGGTAGAGGTACTCCTCAAGATCTCCTTTAAATACTACGAATGCCTATTTTCTTCAACAGAAAGAAAGGATAATCAACGGTAAAGATACGCAGAGTTTGGATTCTTTTGGGACAGTTCTCTTACATATGATAAGTATCTAACTTACTTGTACCGACTCCCATCAGTAAGGTTGACAAAAGAACAATCTGAAATAAAACTATTGAGCATAAGAGGACATTTAAATGATAATTCATTTTAATTACTTTATATAGTGAAAGTCACTGTCGTTGCAGTAATCAAGTATCTTGACAGCCATTAAGTAGATTATTAGATATATAGTATAATTTGTCAAGATATGTTAGAAGATGATAAATAAGATTTTATAAAAAAATAATTTTCCAACCTTAATGATTCACAAAGTATATATGTAGAGTGTTCCATTTTAACATTCATATCGAAATATCTTAAAAAATACAAAAGATACGAATGTTTCGAACAAAGTTATATGGTTATACGGACCACAAATAATAGTAAAATATGATTTTTCTAATAATTCTGTATATAGAAGTATTAAATAGAAATATCGAAAAATTAATGGTTTACGAGATATTTTATTCTTGCGAATTGATATGAAATATTTCGTAAATTATTAATTTTTTTATAAATGATCTTAATACTTTTCTGCATAATAAGACAAATCAATATTAGAGTAACGGAAATACATAGTTGTTAAAAAAAATTGTGCAATTTGCAATTACATCCTTTTTTGAAAAGAAGTAACTATGTATTTTCAATACATTAAATAATTCATCTTATTATTCTGTGGATAAAAGAATTTAACATTGACTCAAAATGGTGATAATGCACTTTATGTAACTTACATTTCAAATACAATTATTCTAATTGGATAAAAGTTAAGATACACTCAGTTTTAAATGACTATACTTTGAAATAAAAAGGGCGACATAAATTATAGTACTTTGTCAATCGAGAATATAAGTCTCTAATTTATATTATTATAATAAACCCATTCCACATTATTTACTTTTATTCCGTGTGTTATTTATCAATGAAAAGTCAATTTATGTAAATGTAAACATTTATATAAATGTCTGTACATAATAAATGCACATGGGAAATATTACGCGCAAGATCTTGCTCGATTTCTGCTGCTAACAGCAGGTTTTATCAACAAATTCCAAGCTTAATGCAGACATACCATAAATGGCTGCGGAGCTGCAATAGGAATCTAATTGAATTTGCTGTCAATTTGTGACCAAAGTTTTTGCTAGTATTTTCCTGTGTATGTGTGGAATGTTATTTTTAAGTTTGAAAAATAGATAAATTCTACATTTCAGAAATCAGAAGATGCAATGTAATTTGAAGTAAAATTCATATTGTGTATTTATGTTAATAACACATTGTATCTTTAATAACACATTCAGTTTTTTTATTAAATAAGAAAAAGCACGGAAAAGTCTTGATGTCCATTCTTTATACTATTTAAGTAATTTTTTAATAAATTACAGAAAATAGTAAATTATTTTTCTTTTCTACATTTATTTATGACAATTTTTATTATTGTATTATCAAATATGAAATTAATTTTTTTTTACAGAAATAAACAGTTGCTATTTTCTTGGAAAAAAATACTTACTTTATTTTACAATAGCAATGTGCTGTACTAATACTTTTGTCCAGCACTGTATATTTTTATTATAATAATAATAAATTAATGTTTATTTTGTACAGAATGCATGACAGTAAAATAAGATATCGCAGTCTTTACTAACTGCAATTAAACATGCTGTTTTATTATATCCATATGTATGTGATTGCTTTAAAATATTTTAGAAAATATTACCGTAGCAAAACCTTCTATGGATGCATCAAGTACTCCACCGATATTTAATGAAAATTCTTGGGCTCCTCTTTGCAATAGAAATAGTATCAGTCTTTGTGTATGCAATGGAGTTCTATACCATTGAACATTGTACCTATGGAATTGATTATAGG